CCTTGATCATTTCTAAACAACATATGCTATGCAAACTCAAAAGAGACTCAAGCAAAATCAACCGCATGAAATCAAATGGTAACACTCTTAAAGCAAGAGGGGCCAAAACTCACATGGGCTAATAAAGGTGCTCAAAACTTTTCAAAAGTATCATGCCACAGTCATTAACCACAAAAGTAACAATCACACACTATCTCTAATCATCCCTAGAGTGCAACCACAAACATTTTCGATCTTGTGTCTAAAAATTCCTTTGTTCACTAAGGGATACATGCACACCTGATTTTTGATTTTTCAGTTTTCAAAACGCATTAAAACCACACAGTCATAAACATTGAAATATGTACACATGCAAAGGTTACAACTAATTAACATCCATACCACTCAAAGTACACAACAAAAGGTAAAAGGTTAATAAAACAGTACACAACAAGATAATCAAAACAAAATAACAGAGCAAAATAATAGAACAAAATAACAAAACACAATTTTCCAAAGTGAAATAGCTTAGTCTTCCTCCTCATCCTCTTCAGCCTCGTCTGACTCTTCTTCATCGTCATCCTCCTCCTCAGATTCCTCCTCAGACTCCTCATCATCATTAGCTGCATCACCTTCCCCCTGCGGTTAAGCATGGCCCCCTGGCCATGCTACATGAGCAGAATAAGCTGCAGCTGAAGGTGGTTGAAAATTTGGGGCGAGTCCTGATGCATGAATGGAAAGATTACGAACACTATCCATCACCATAGTAATAGCTCTGAACATGGCCTCATCCCTCTGTTCACTGCGAAGCAGAGCAGCATTAATATCTTCCCAGCGCCGAGACTCCATAGCACTAACTGGTGGTGGTGCTCGAGAGGAAAAAGCTGAGGTACTGGCAATCCTCCTATTAGTCTCCTTGTAGCAGTAGGTATCAATGTAAACTTTGTTGATGGGCATCTTCAACTTCTCAAATGGTGTTTCAGTAACATCGACTCCAGCTCGATGAAAAAGATGTGTAATGAGTGAAGGATGACCCAAGATACCTGTATGTTGGGCACAATGTCTAATTTCTTCAGCTATGAGGGCCCCAACATCAATAGCTTTTTTATCCATAATAGCATATAGAAGTAGTGCCCTTGACTCCAGGACATCAGAAGTGTGGCAACAAGGAGAAAGATTGGCATAAATAAAAGCCACCCAAACTTTTGCCATTGGAATCAAATCTTCTCGGAGAATGTGAGATATCTTCCCCCTGCTTGTGTATTGAAATCCCTTCCCTGGTTTACAAACCGTGTGTTTCACCAGCCTATAATTCTTGTTGCGGGTTACCCAATCAGAATACTCGCAGTACCTAAGGCCTTCAGTCAGATGAGTGCCTAGAAAAGTGTTAATGGTGGCGGCATCAAACCTGATTGTGATATACCCCGAACATAACTAGTGTACTCAGGCAACTCATTGCTAAGAACCCGAGCATTGCAATAAAATTCCCGCACAACAGAAATGTTAGCAGGAGCCATGTAGGAGGCTAGCTTTTCCCACTTCCTTCTTTGTATTTCTGCTTGGAATTCTGGGTATTCAGTTGGCTTGAGTTTGACCATCTTTTCTATCCAGAGACTTCTTTCTTCCAACTTGGGATAAAATTCTTGATGTTCCTTGTCACGGAAAGTGTGAGAGTCAAATGAAGGGGCACAAAATGGTCGCCCTGCAGTAGTTTTAATTCTTTTCTCCGGGTGTGTCTTTGGTGGAGCCATCTTGTTTTGGGATTAAGAATGATGGGTTGCCTCCCATAAAGAGCTCGTTTTCTGTCACTACCTTGACAAACAAAAGCTACAGGGGTACTCCAATGCAACGGTGGAATAAGCTCGCTCAATTTCATCGCCCAAGTAGAATTTAAGTCTTTGGCCATTTACCACCTAGCTCTCCTTGGAGGAAACATCCTCCACTTGTATTGCTCCATGAGGCTTAACTTGCTTAACTCTGAATGGCCCTGACCACTTTGACTTCAGCTTCCCTGGAAAGAGTCTCAACCGGGAGTTGTAAAGGAGCACAAGTTGTCCCGGATGAAACTCTCGCTTTAGAATCTTCTGGTCATGATACAGCTTTGTCCTTTCCTTGTAGTGCTTAGCTGACTCGTAAGCGTTGAGACGCAATTCTTCCAATTCATTCAGTTGTAATTGTCTCTTCTCAACTGATTGGGTTCGATCAAAATTCAAGAACCTGATAGCCCAGTATGCCTTATGTTCCATCTCAACCGGCAAGTGACATGCTTTACCATAAACCATCTGAAATGGTGACAATCCAATAGGTGTCTTACAAGTAGTGCGATAGGCCCAAAGTGCATCATCCAACTTGAGAGCCCAATATTTCCTGCTTACATTCACTATCTTTTCAAGGATACGCTTGATTTCCCGGTTTAAGACCTCTGCTTGCCCATTTGTTTGCGGGTGATAAGGAGAAGCTACCTTGTGTCGCACATCATAGTGTTCCAACACCTTCTTTAATTGAGAGTTGCAGAAGTGAGCTCCCCCATCACTGACCAAAACTCTTGGAACACCAAACCTAGAGAAGATGTTTTTCTTGAGAAACTTGATCACGGTCTTAGCATCATTCTTTTGTGCAGCCACAGCCTCGACCAATTGGGAAACATAGTCCACAGCCACTAATATGTACTCATTTGAGTAAGAGGAAGGTAAGGGCCCCATGAAATCGATTCGCCAGCAATCAAAGACCTCTACTTCAAGCATGTTTTGCAATGGTAGCTCATAGCGTTTGGAAATATTTCCAATTCTCTGACATCTATCACAACTCTTTGCATGATCATAGGCATCCTTAAACAATGTTGGCCAAAAGAACCCCGATTGTAGGACTTTGGCTGCAGTTCGTTCACGATTGAAATGACCTCCATAGGGGGAATTATGGCAGTGCCACAATATGTTCTTGGCTTCATCTTGAGCTACACACCGCCTTAGCAGATTATCAGCCCCTACCTTGAAGAGATAAGGGTCATCCCAAACATAGTAATTGGCATCACGGAAATTTTTTTTCTTTTGCTGCCAAGTATAGCCTTCCGGAATGATACCAGTTGCTTTAAAGTTCGCCATGTCAGCAAACCACGGACGTTCTTACACTAACAACAAAGCTTCATCCGGAAACTCATCCTTGATTTCACCCTCCTTGCAAGTAACTTCTTCATTGACTAATCTTGAGAGGTGATCAGCCACTAAATTCTCAAAACCTTTCTTATCCTTTATCTCTAAGTTGAAATCTTGCAGCAGCAAGACCCAATGGATTAGTCGAGGTTTTGATTCAGCTTTGGTGAGCAGGTATTTAATGGCTGCGTGGTCGGTGTATACAATGACCTTGGATCCAATAAGATAAGCTCGAAATTTCTCCAAGGCATACACAATGGCTAGCAACTCTTTCTCTGTGGTTGCATAATTTAGTTGTGCTCTATAATTGGATGTTTCCATTTCCTAATGGTTTAGAATGATGCCCATTTTGAACAATGATTTTGCTCCTTGGTGACACGATGTATGTGATTTCCTATAATAATGCAGCCCCTTGCAAATCTTTCTAAGAAGCTATGTGGTTGTTTTACAATTGGAAATGCACTGGTTTAGGATAACAATAGTGATCATGTATACATTTTTATTTTAAAGCAGGACAGGTATGAATAGGTATTTCTCTATTTGACTGGATCTGGTGCCAATTGGCCCATTATACTCTTATTGACTATTATGTTGGTGCATCAAGTTTAATGGAAGGAAACATAGTTGTTTAAATGGTCATCATGGAAGGTTTGATTCTCAACGGCTCTAAAATATTGCATAGTGCTGGCCTTTATTTATTTGATACTAAGGTTAGAATCACGGTTGTGCTTCATCACAATAATTTATTGCAACCTTTTATGAAAATTGTTTATATATATATATATATATATTCATTATAGGTAACTAGAAATAACTAAAAACAAAAATATTTTTTTTAAAAAAAATGCAATCTACATCGATTTCCTGAGAACCGATGTAGATTTATCTATAAATCAACATCGGTTTTTAAACTGATGTAGAAGTTTATACACTTTTTAAGTCGCTTTATTCTACATCGATTTTAGAACCGATGTAGATGACTTCACAAAACCGATGTAAAATATGCATCTTGTAGTAGTGCTAGGATTCAATGTTACTTGTGACTTGTTGCATGCCCCATTAATACAAGGCATTATTAGGTAGTTTTAGATTACATAATAGCTTTTAATTAATTACGTCCTTTGTTTGATAATAAGTTTCATGTTTAAAAAAATTGTAATATATGCTAGATCAAAAATGGTCTTGGATCTTTTGAAGCATAAGTTTTGGTGGTAACATGTTAAGCCAGATGAAGAAATTCTCAACAAGATTTTGAGTGAGACAAATATAATATATGTTGTTATCTCTAACAAGTGTGTCAGTGTTTCAGATAAACATAAGATCAGGTAAAATGAGGAAGAGGCATAAGCATCAGACAATACAAGGCGAAAGGCCAACATAAGCATTCAACAAGCCAAATCAAGAACAAGACCATGCCAAGGACAATTTAAAGCAACACATAAAGACTCAGACGGCAGATGGTTAACGACCTTAACGAAACTCTAGAAGAAATGGAAAGTCTGACCATATACAAGGTTGACCATATGAAAGGAAAAGTCAATACCTTAATGAGAAATGCTCATACAAAGGACAAAGTATTAAGCAACATATAGACCACCAGATGCAGACGAAGAATGACACGCAATCACTTCAGAAATCAAGCTTCAAAAGACAATCTGAATATCGTCTACACTCATAGGAGAATACACGAAGTCATCTGAATTGTAAGAAGAAAAGAGGAAAGGAGAAAATCAAAGCCCAGAACTAGAAGCATGCATGTGTCAGGAAAAGTACATTACTTTTTCAGACAAGGACAAAACTTCTGGATCGGATGCCGCTTGGCCCACGACCGAGTTGGTCTCTCCGTTTGACTCGCCCCTAACCCAACTCCACTCACCTATAAGGAGGGTCACTCGGCTTCTGCCTAATGGGATCTTCGGAAACATGACAACTCGACTTCAAGCCCTCTCGCCTCATGAAGCTCAGGGCTGAAGGGCAAGTGGACCGTTCAGGTCGTTTTCCGACCTGATTCCCTTCTCGGTCATAGGACGTTAGCGACCTTCCAACTGATAGGTCCCCAATAGTGATTAGAATTGTAAAACTTCCAGGGTCCTTGAACTTGGGAGGCAAGTTCTTTTGAATTATGGCACTACACCCCGCTTCCAACTTAATAATCTCTTGCTCAATGAACTTTCTCTTCTTTGTCAAGAGGTCTTTCATGAATTTTTCATAAGTGGGCATCTGCTCCAATGCCTTTGAGAATGGAATGTTGATCTGAAGCTTCTTAAAAAGCTCCATGAAGCGTACAAATTGCTTCTCTTTATCCTTTTTGCTTGGGGCAGGGGGATATGGCATATCCTTGGTACTAGACACCTTGGATTTCATCTTCAATTCTCTTGCTAGCTGGCTCTTTGATTTTTTAACAGCAACTTCCTCAGCCAACTCTTCTCCCTCTATGACATTCTTTTTTGCATTTTCTAATTTTTTATTTTTTTCATTATTTTCTCCATCTCCCTCTCTCATTTCTACCTCTTTTTCTTGTTGCTCTTCCTCATCCTCCAACACTCCCACTCTCTTACCACCTCTTGTTGTAATTGCACTACAATTCTCCTTTGGATTAGTTTGAGTATTGGCTGAAAAATTTCCACCAGAATTTTCAGCCAATTGTTTGGCCAGCTACCCCATTTGAATCTCCAAATTCTTTATAGATGTTTTAGTATTCTTGTGGTTAGAGATTGAGACCTGCATGAACTGATTCAATGTTTCTTCCAATTTAGATTGCCTATCATACCAGTTGGGCCTTTGCATAGGAGATCTACTAAACTAAGCAATATCATTTTGGTTCCACCCTGTGCTAGGGTGTGATTTCCAATTCTTCCCATAATTACCACCAAAATTTCCTCCTTGTCGAGCCTGATTCCCCATGTAATTCACCTCTTGTCCATGAGATAGGAAAATATCAATGCACTGCCCGTGAGGATGATTCAACTCACAAAGATCACAACTTAGAACTTGATGTTGAGTGGATTGTAGTTGTTGTGGAATCCGAGCAACTTTCTTGGTAAGAGCCTCAATTTGTTGGGACAAGAGCTTATTTTGAGCTAATAAAGCATCTTGAGATCCCAACTCTAGAATTCCTCTTTTCTGTCTTGACTCCCTTTCAGCTGGTAAATCATAATCATTTGCTGACATAGCATCAATCAACTCTATAGCCTCCTCCGGTGTTTTAAAACGCATGCTACCTCCAGCTGAGGCATCCAATAGAATTTTCACCCGTGGCTGCAATCCACCCAGAAAAATATTAACCTGAGTAAGGTCATCAAATCCATGACTTGGACATCTCCTCAACAAGGATTTGTATCTCTCCCAAGCCTCGGATAGAAGTTCATCTTGCTTCTGAGAGAATGTGACAATCTCACTTTTTGCTTGATTTATCTTAGCAAGAGGGAAGAATCTTGCCAAGAACTTTGTCTCTATGTCAGACCACCTGGTTAAGCTTTGATGTGGTAGAGCATTGAGCCACATCTTAGCTTTTCCAAGTAGTGAGAAAGGAAACAACTTCATCCGAATCACCTCTTCAGGAACTTGATGTATCTTCACTGTGCCACAAAGCTCAATAAAAGTATGAAGATGCAGATATGGGTCCTCATGATCAAGGCCCGCAAATTGATTGTTCTGAATCAAATTCAACAGTGCTGGCTTCATCTCAAAATTAGTGGCAGCAATTGCAGGAGTGGCAATGCTAGAGAAATGAGTAGTACTAGTAGCAGTTGCATGATCACCAAGAGTAATTCTTGGTCTTTCCTCTGCCATTTCAACTTTCCCTAAGATTTCAGATAAAGAAGGACTGAGAGAGGACGAAGTAGCCTCTCTGTGTTGTGCCTGCTTGGCTAGTAACCTTTGCTTCCTTACTGCTCCCCTATTCCTCCTAGCTGTTTTCTCAATTTCTGGGTCGTAAGCTAAATCACTAGGAACAGTATCTCACATAAACCAGAATCACAAAGCTACAACAAACAGTTAGCAACACAGATACAATGAATTAAAAGAAAAGGAATATAATAACTAAAAAATGTAAAAGAATAAATGAATCAAAGCCTAGATTAGTAATCCAAGTGACTTTGCCTAAGTATTGAGACGCAAGTCCCCGGCAACGGCGCCAGAAACTTGTTATCTCGTTTGGCAAGTGTACCAAATCGTATAAGTAGTTCAATGAAAGTATGAGTATCGTCTCCCAAGGGACTTGCGCAACACTTTGCAATTTCACTTGTTATACTAACTAAGCTACCGGAAAGCAATAAAAGTTTGATTTGCTGCAGTAAATAATGTAAACAAGCAATAACAATTCTTTTTGGTATTTTGGTAAAAACTTAGAGTACAAAACTTGATTCTAATGCAATATTAATAAATTGTTGGGGTTTGACTTCACTAAACCTTCCTCTCATGCTTATCACTAAGTTCACAATAGTTATTATTCAGAATTTATCAATCAATCTCAAAAGTAACCAACCCTAATCTCTTACAAGTTGGAATCTAAGTTTCTAACTTAAACTATCAATCTCTTGCATAGTTTAACCAAGAAACCAACTTTAAAAACAAGAGCTTAAGAAAGACCAATGGCATTTACTTTATCTCTAGCAATAAACACCATTAGCTGCTCTATTTCAAGTCAAAGGTTTAAAATCATTTCTCAATCTCTTAAAAACCTTAAGTTCAAGTTAAGGGTGATCAAGTCATAACAAGCATTATGCACAGAAAAAGAGCAATAAAACTGAATAGCAACTTAGATTGATAGCTTAGAGTTTACACATGAGAATGGGTTTAGTTACATCAAACCCCAATAAGGGTGAGTTTAGCTATACATAGACATGTAGAACTCTACAAATGATGAAGAAAGGAAGAAGCTTGATCTTGAAGGTTCCAGAGCTCTCCAGCCGCCACACACACTCCAAGAATGATCCTCCTTGCTTCTTTCCTCGAAAATCTCACTTTTAGGTCATAAAAGCTTTTGTCTTATGTGAATAATGACATGTTAGCACAATCCACGCTAAGCGTGAGAAGCCACGCTAAGCTTGAGGATAGATATGGAGAGAAATGAGGTTTTGGGACTCCCACGCTCAACCTCAGTTCCACGCTCAGCGTGAGAATTGAATTTTTGTTCCAGGGACTCTCTGCCAAGCTGAGGCTAAGCCTGGATCTGGGGCTTAGCCTGGGGACTTAACCACAAATTCTTTCAATTTCAAATTCACCACTTTGTGCTTGACTTCCTTCCTTCTTTCCTAGCTTTCTCCTAAACTACAAAACAATAACCAAAAACTTGTAATTTACCTAAAAACATGATTCAAAGACAAAATGTGATCACTTAATAATTTATATATGTTTTGAGTTAAAAACAAGGTCTAAAGCAAGGAAAATTAATATAAGTGCTTCAAACTAGGCCATAAACTTCATGAAATCATAGCACTTATCATAAATATAAATGTTAAAGTTTGATGGGTACTATTATTATATTATTTTTTTATAATGCATTAAAATCATATTTACGTTTTTTTTTAAATACTAATCATAACATACATAAAGTTAAGCCTATGAACTTATTAAAGAAAAAAAATTATTAAAGAATAAACTTATGTCTTATTTAGATTCTTATTACAAAATAAACATTTAAATACTTCGTCACTAAGTTATATCTAACTTTAAAAATATGATTATATTATATAAAAAGATGGAGGACTAATTAATGAATGAAGTCAAACTTAAAAAATAAAATAAAAGGTTAGACTAGTAACAAGTTAGGCTTGAGCCTTAAATATTTTTAAATAAGAAAAATATATTTAAGTAAGTCTTGCATAGTCGAATCTATTTCCATTCTTAAACATATTATTTTTACTATTATTTAAAATTTATTAATAGTATACATTAAGTAGAAAATAAGATTTACCAAAAATTTATAATATCAAATAAAAAGTGTATAAAGAATTTATAAGTATATATTAGCATTTCTCATGAAAAAAAAAATTAAACATGTATGATCTAACTTTGGTCTCTGTATTGGTTGAAATATGAATAAATTTTGATGGACTTAAAAATAATTTTAATCTTTTTAAATTTAAAGTAAATTTGTTTTTAGTATCTCAAATTTAAAATGGATCTTTTTAATCTCTATAATTTTAAAAAAAATTTATTTTAATCTTTATATTTAAATTTTGTTAAGGAATTTATGAAATAATGTGACATAAAATTTACTTAGTATTATTTCTATAAATAAAAATATCATATTAAATCTTATTAATGATGCATAAGTGTTATCAGTTTTAAATATATTATTAGTATATGAATGACTAAAATGAGATTTATAAAAGTTATAGGATTAAAAATAATAATTTTAGAATTTAAGAGAGAAAAAATAAATTTATCTTAAATTTTTAAAATTAAAAACATATTTAAATCATTTTGATATTATTTTTCGGAATTTATGTCATAGATTTGACTTACCAAGTGTCGGAAAAGGTTTGTCGCCTAATGTCTATGAAGAATGTTCAAAAGTTTTTATTATTAAACAATAGAAATGAAACTGTAGGAGTACATCATAAGCTACCCTGATAGATATTAATTAAATAAAGTAATTAAGAGGTAAAAACTTTGACCGTTGAATGCATTTAATTGAACCGGTTAATGGATAATACTTGCATATATTCATGCAGCTCATGCTCAGGTTATTTAAATAATTTAATCAAAATTATTTAATAATCATATTTATATATAATCATTATAATTTAATCATAACCAGTTATGATCTTGGATAGTGGATTTTAAATTTTTAATAATCGGTTATATTTTAAAACTAGATATATAATTGGTTTTGAAAGAAAAAAAAAATAAAAGAATAGTTTATATTTAATACACTTTTAAATTTTTTTTTGTTTTATGTTTTAACGATTTTTATTATATAAAATACTATTTCATATCTTTGTATATTTTATGTAAAATATAAAAAATAAAATACATAATAAAATTAATTAATGTGAAATATGTGTGAGTAATTAATAATTAGGGAATGTAAGCAGTTTTGAGTGGTTATTTAATAGATATAAAATATTTAAAAAGTAAAATTACAAAAAAGTGAAAAAGAAAGAATAAAAATTAAATAAAAATATATGGAAGAGAAAATAATATTTTGAAAGTTAAAGGTTAATCGGTCAATGGGTACATTAAAAAGACATATTGTCTTTATTATAGATTAAAATAATTATTTTGAATAAAAACTACTCTTCAATTTAAAAAAATTAAGCTATTTTTCTTTAAGAAACTTTTTGAGAATTTTGTTTTAAACTCTATTATTTTTTCTAAATTAAATCTCAATATTTTTTAAATAAATTATTAATAATTAAAATATTTTTTATAATTATATAAAAATATTTATTTAATATTATTTTCAATTGATATGATTTATATATTGAAAAGTATTTATTATAAATTTCAATTAAATGAAATAAAACTTTATGATCTTCATTAATTTTAAAAGTTAATTTTTAAAAAAAATTTAAATTTAGTTTTGGTTATAACCGGTTAAATAACTGGTTATGATATATAATCAGTTTTTAAAAGTTAAAAATGGTTTAGGGTTTAAAAAAGTTAAAAATGGTTATGATAAACTAACACAATTATATAAAAAAATATTATAGTTAATAACCGCTTAATATATATCTGATTAATTTTTATAATCATTTTTAAATAATTGATTATTGCAAAACTAATTAATTATGGTTATGGATAATTTTTTTATAGCTCATTATTTTAATCACCCTTACTCTTTATCTTATACAAATACAAGGATTATTGTGTTGTCAGAAATGTGTATCGCAAATGAGAATAAATTATTTTTATTATGAATTTTACCTTGAATTTCTTATATAGTGAAAATTGAGTATACACTCAATTTTATTTTACTTTTTATTTATATATTTTTTAATTATCTTAATTTTAATTGATGTAGAATTTAAATTTTTTTTAATACTATTTTCACCCACAAGTTGAAGACACATCCATATTTGATAAGATTGACATTTAGTGAGAACCCCAAAATGAGAAGAGTAAATCTTTCAATGTATAACAAAAGACCTTACTAACTAGTGTTTTTTTTATTAAAAAAATAGTAAAATTGAAAATATGTAAAGATAGTAAAAATTGGAAGTTATGCATATGTGAGGTTGCTGATGTGACGAAAAAAAAATCTAACAGAATAATTTTAGTGTGCAAATAGGTTTTTTTAATAAAAACAAATCTCATTCCAAATCTTCCAATGATGTTTCCTTTTCTAAAGCCTAAACATTTTTATGAACCCCAGTCATTGTTCCACATTGTACTTATCTAAGGACACACTCGTAATTTTTTGGTTATTTGAAGGTCGAACGAGAGTTCTGATCAAATATTCTGGTGGGGAAAGTACTTGCAAAAGGTACTTCGACGCTCAAGTCAGGATAAACACAAATGTTGATAATAATAAATGAACAGTGAATTTACCTCGAGATGTGAACTATTTATACTGACGTAAATGGGTCCTGCGTGTGGTGGGCCTCCTCTGTGTTTTGCCAAATTAGGTAATACAATGCTTAATGACTGATTACCTCCTTAATCTCGTGTCTGTCCTTGTTGATCATAATTATTGTTCCAAATATGGTATTGGTCCTCTCGGCCCATCACCGAACTGAGAGACGTGAGTCATCCGATGAACCTAAGTATGTATATCAAACGATATCATTTTTCGGGCTCAACCACTAGTCGGGCTGATACGTTTTTATCAATTAGGATTAGTG